ACATAGAAAAATCATTTTAGAACTAATACAGTCTTTAAGAATGGATTTTGACTTAAAAAGTTAGTCTCTAATCTATCTTTAGCTAATGGGTCTTAAAAATTTGCCCATGAACAAGTTTTTCCACGACTTTGTATGACACAGATTTTTTTGTTTTCTCTAAAGACTTAACATCAGCAGGAAAAAAAAACCTCAGGCACAACTCCCACTTCCCAAGACACCTTGAAAACCCTAAAACCTGGCTTAGAGTTCACAGTCAGCCTTCAAGTGCCACGAATATTGAAAATGACTAATTTCTTCCAACACACCTTAATTACGCCCATGGTCTGCTTTCAGCCACCTAACTTTTATACACACTTGCAAATAAAATCAGTAAAACTGTTTTAGATATTTAATACTAGAGTTGGATTAAAAACTAATAAAGTACAAGTTGCAGATATCTTTTAAACAATAACTTGAATGCAGAGCAGTTTTAGTGCCTAAGGGATCCAGAAAGCTTTAAAAAGAATCTACAACCTGTTGGCAGGGTTCTCAGCATTGCAGTAAAAGCAAAAGTTTAGCAAACTGGGAAAACTCAATTCAAGATGAGAGATGAAACAAATAATTCAATGAAGTATGGACTTATTTTTTCCACGACATAAAAGTAAACTTCTAATTTTACAATTAAATAAAAAAGGTTAAAGGGAAAACTTGGAGCTTAGCAGAATTTTTAATTTTTTCTGCCTGTTTTGGTACAACAGTATTATTTGATGTGTCAAATCTCTACATTCAAAAAGCTCTTGCAATATGATGATAAAAATAAAACTCAGGCCATTCTTGTTATGCAGAACAGTGATTAACAAAGGCTTTGTTCCATACAAAGAGCAGTGAGGCATGTTTTTGCCATGAAAGATAAGGGATCTTTAGACAAAAATTTGCACTTTAATGACTCACAAGGTGACCTCCTGGTGGGAGGCCAAGCTACACCTCCTCAAAGGTGGGAGTGTGAGGAGAGAGGGAATTTTTGTGGTTCTTTTGCCATCTTTCATGGGAATTTGCCTCTGTGAACTCAGACTGGTTAGAAACCAGAAAGAGAGGGGCACAAACAGTGGTTGTGACAGCTGGTACTGCATGAATTGAACAAAATCACTCTGTCCTGAGCCAGCTGAGGGACTGGGACAGGGGATAACTGTAATAAATGTGTTATTTTTCTTCTCCAAAGCTGAAATCTGGGATCTCACTCACTACAAAGGGACAGCTTGGAGCTAGTACCACCAGCTCCAGAATAATTGGGAAATAAATAAGGAAACACAATTCTAAGGGAAAGAAGATACATTTATAAAGGTGAGCAGATCACCTGCAGCTGCATTGAAAGGAAGACACCGTGTATGCAACAGAGCAGAAGGATCCTACACAACAAAGTTTCTGAACTACCTGGGTCTCTTCAGTGACACAAAAACTGCCAGAAGGAGAGAGGAGTTAGGGACATTCCAGTTCTGGAAAAGTTTTCTTTTCCTCATTATTAGCAACTCTAATTACTTTGAAAGAAGAGCAATGAGATAAATCCTGTAGAGCCAGAAATGTGACCTGATTTCCTTCCTGATTTAGAAACTGTCACTTTGCAAGAGAAACCCAAAGAGACGGAGCCAGGTCAAAGTGGGCTCCTCAGTTTGGTCTGCAGAGTAAATAATAAACCAAGATCAATAGAAACATTGCCAGGGTTTCCTTTTGGTAGGTGTTCATAAGGATGATCCTTTTTAAAGGATAAATAAACACATGTTTATCTGAACTGATTGCAGTCATCCATGACATCATGGAAGCGATATTCACTACAAGCAAACAGAAATATACCCAACAGAGTTCATGTATTTTGCTCCAGGTTGGATGGTGAAAGGAGGGAAAAGTGATGACAGAACTCCAACTATAAATTGCTTTATACCATGATTAAGGCCCTACCTCGAGACAATGTGTGAACACAAAACAGAAATTCAAGTGGATATTTAAGAGTGATACTGCTTCTGAGTTACCAAAGTTCTATTTCAGAGAACTGAGAAATTAGTTGTTGTCATCTTTTAACAATCAGGGCTATAATTTTCCAGAGTAAATCATCAGAGACAACTCCTGAGGTAGCAAATTTCAGGACGAACTGAGCACCCACCCTCTCAAAACAACAGATCCCTTCCATGCTTTTCAAGTTGAGCTTTCACAAACTAAGGCACTAAAGGTGATAACAGATGCCAACAAGTTTATTCTGCAAAGCAGGACTAGGATTTCCAAATGACCACCAACATGGTTTAATATGCAACCCAAAATGTTCTTTACTCCCATACACCTTCAAGACACTAAACAGAAAAAGGTAATAAGTTAAATTAAGCCCTATCCAACATAAATAGGATATTTCAAGAAATTTATAGTAGCTATATTTCATTAATCCCCCAGTCAGGATGACATTTCCCATCAGTAAATTTTTAAACATAATTTTGACAACGTGTTTAGATCAAGAACACAGTAACTACTCAACCTTTTCCTGTCACAAGTAAAGATCCTGGGGGGCAGTAGTTGGTGCCACAGGTGTTAGTCCATCACAGCGAGAACCGAGGCCACTTTCTGGTTCAAGCCAGGAATAAAATGCTCTCAACTCTGTTGCAGTTTTAAAGTCCGTACCCATGAGCTGTCATTCAGAGTCACAAAGTCTCGTGGTCTACATACCCCCTTCATGGTCAAGGCATTTGGGCTACATACCCAATGATGCAACTGAATACCTTTGTGACCTCTGACGAATGATTGAGGGCATGAAACAGGATCCGTTCTGCCACACTGTACAGAGCCCTGGCATGCTTTAAATCTGCAGGGCTCCTTGCAGCACAAACCACTTCTGTGTGAGAGCTCTAGCTTTAGAAGCTGACCCTTCCTGCCTGTAAAGCCCTCAGAGCCTCAGACAGAAGAGCAAAGCTGAGCTGTGGATGATTCAGAGCGAGCGGCAAGAGCTGAGAAAAACCACGTTACAACACCCAACTCCAGTCATGAGCAAGTTCAGGAAAATATTAATCTGTGATTATTCCTGGCAATATTGTGATCTGCCCCCCTACCAAAGTTACATAAACTCCACTATTCAAGGCTGAGAGCTCTTGGCACATTAATCTAAAAATACCACAACTTCCATTGCTTACATGTTGAGACATTTGCCCCAAAAAGACACAATATTTTTTATTAAGGACCTCTGTCACTGAAGCTTTTTGTCAACCACATTTGCCACCTGAAAAGGCTACACAAGATTAAAAAAACACTAACAAAACCAATGGACATCACTCCAAATCCAGCTGTATCATTCCCATCCCATCCTGACGCTGGGCTCCCCTGAACTTTTTTGGAACAGCGTCTCATCAAGGCAATGCACCCAAACCAGCAGAAGTAACACATCCAAAACCACCACTTTCTTGGTCCATTCGAATCAGAGGGTTTAACTCCTCACTGCCTCACAGCTCTGACCTTTCCAATTCTCTGCCACCACAAGCTTATGGGATCTGCCGGATCCATCTGCGTCTCCACCTGGTCTGCTTCCCCACGCCAAAAGCACGGATCAAATATACGTGTCTGGAAACACATCCCTGCTTTTTCTTCATGCCACCCGGGGGGGAACCCCCTCTCCCGTTTAAGACAACGGAAAGCCTCCAAGACCACTTCTGCCAAACCCCGAAATCCTGGGAAATTGCAGCAAAATGAACTTCAGCACCTTGGACAGGACACACAGAAGGAAAATCGCCGAAATCGGCTCATTGGCCCCGAAAATGCCGTGCCTGGACGTGACCCTCTAGGACACATCTGCGGGCCTGTTTATTTTTAGTATTGACAAATCCTCTTTGAATCACCGTGTTTATTCCACCATCCACCCTGTGTTTTGGGGAGAGCTGCTCTCCAGCCCGGCAGGGGCAGAAATCGGGGCCACCAACTCCGGATCCAAGGCTCGTCTGCAGGAGCAGCCTCTGCCCCGGCTGGGACTGGAAAAGCTCGGCTCAAGCACTCCCAAGGCTCAGCTCACCCTTTGCATGGCCAAACGGGACCTGTTGCCATAGATGTGCCTGGCTCGTGTGCTTATTCACTTTTTGGAAGCTCATCCCCACCTCCTCACCCAAATCTCCAAGACAAACAGAATTGAAAGGTCTGATTTATTCCCATTGCAGCCACGCTTCGGTTGCATAAGTTTTGTTTTAATTTAGCTTTTGTTCTGTCTCACGGTGCTCCCAGTATGTCACTGTTCCCCTCAGGGCTGCCTTGATAAAATCATTATCACCTTGCTGGAGTGCAGCGCAGCTCTCCCCGATTTGCTTTTATTTACATGAGCCAAGTCAAGTTTTTAATTTGTGACGCCAAAATTTTTAAGCCAAGGTGTTTTACAAACAGCTTTGAGTTGCTTGGTGCCATTAATAAACACACTTAAAATATGCCAGTTCTTATAACAAGTAATACCAGTAACACCCTTGCCATACAGAAGAACGATACATTTCCCCTGCCGCCACAGAAATGACCATTCCAGTTCATTTCTTCCCTTCAACACCTGCCACTACATTTCCACTCACACATATCTGACACCGGATAACATCAACTGAACAATTGCAGAGTATTTTCTGCCTTGCTGGCTCTTCCCGGCACTTCTGGGTGCGGAAGCAAGATGGAAACTAAAGCGAATCTCTGCCAGAATTACCTTTAAACAGCAATATGCATTTCTATCTATATAAATTCTATATCCTCTGCTTCTACAGCCCAGCACAAGCTTTGCTGTCCCAACTTCCCTCCGTTCCAGCCCCCGGTCCCTCTCCGCACCCTGCTCGGACGGGACGGTCGCGGTGCCCGTGCCGCCTCCAGGGAAACTTTGGGAAGGGAAAACCCCAGCACTGCTCATTCCTCCTCCGCGACACGCTCTGAACCGGGCATCCTTTCCGTTTCTTTCCTTTTTTTTTTTTTATTATCATTTTATTACCAAGCAAACCAACAAACGGAACAAAATAAAAAAGAGAGAAACTTACATTGGTTTATTTAATTTTTCCTGCTAAACCACCAAGAGTCCCAGAGCCACTTCATTGTATCCACAGAGTTTTAGTCCGCGAGCGGTCCCGTCCCGCGGGGAGCAAGGGCCCGGCTGCCGTGCGCGGAGCGCGCTGCCCGCCCGCCGCCGAGCGCGCATGGCTCGGAGCCGCCGCGCCGTCTGTGCGGCTGCCGCGGGAGCGGAGCGGAGCCAGCGCAGCCCCGGCCGGGCGGGCGGGCGGCGGGGGGGAGTGGGGAGGGATGGAGGGAGGGATAGAGGGAAGGAAGGAGGGAGGGATGGAGGGACGGAGGGAGGGGAGGCGCCGCCCGCCCCGCCGAGCGCGGCCGGGGCGGGCCCGCAGCGCCCCCTGCCGCCGGTGGGGCACGGCGTGAGGGGAAATGGCGGGGAGGCGGCGGCAGCAGCAGGCCGGCAGCGGAGCGAGGCGGAGGGACAGGCAGGGAAGGAGAAATTTTGACAGAAAAGTGGGGAGGAAAGAAGGATGAGAAGGGCTGAGAAGAAAGGGATGAAAAATGGCCCAGTAAAACGGGATGATAGACTGCTAGAGTCATAGGCTTGTCTAGTTTTGCAGTGGGAAATGTGTGAGGGAGCGATATTGTCAGAGTCAAAAATACCTCCAAGAGCATCAAGTTCAACTCTGAAACCAGCATGGCCAAATCTGCCACTAAGCCCTGTCCCCAAGTGTCACATCTGGTGCCATGGTCTAAGGAGTGAGGCGCAATGAACATGACTGGGGAGAGGAAAGGTGGGATGGGGAAGGATGGGGGAAGCTGCAGTGGAAGTGGGGGGTGCCATGGGGACCTTGGAGACAGAGAGGGTTTAATCAGGGCTAAGGGGATGGAGGAGAGGCTCTGGCAGCAGGACACAGCAAGGGATCCCTCAGCACACACAGGGAGGTGTGAACAGTGCCAAAGCTGGACACTCTGATAAACCGCAACCAAACCCCAATCCTCCCAAAACCTAATAAATGTGCACATCAGGTGGGAGTGAGCACCTGCAGCTGCCTGACCCAGAGCTCCTCGCCTCAAGGCACAGCTCCCTAGATCATGGTTACAGCACAGTGATTCCAGTGAGTGAGAACAGCAGCTTTCACCCAAAATAGGCAGCCCAGCAGTGACTGGGAAGATCATGGATGGATAGACATAGGTGAAGAGAGTAGTAGGATTTTCCAGCCACGTGAAGTATTCAAGGTAGTAAAAGAAAGAAACTTCTGAAAAACCCTTCAAATTACTGAGGTAAAACTGGACAAACAGGAGGCTGGGATTGCTTTATTGCCTCAGTGATGTATTGGGAAGTGTCTGCTGCCACTCTGGAGAGAGTGTGGAGCTGTACCATTACTCAGGTGACAGCAGCTCAGGTTGGGGAAAGGTGCTGGGAAAAGAGCATTTTTTCCATTGAGAGAAAAACCTGAGGGGCTGCAGTGGCTCTGGGAAGGCAGTTGTTCACTCAAGAAGAGTGGACAGCTGAGGAAGAGCAGGTGTCTGCTCAAGGACACGCTCATGCTCAAGGGAATTATTGACTGAGGGGTTCAAAATGTGCAAAGATTCTGGAAATGCAGGAAATGATGGAGTGCATCATAGGGAAGAGCTGGGTGAGGAAGAAGAGAGAAGGAAGTGAGAAGAGAGAGTGGAAGTCAGAGACTGGAAAAAGATAACAATCAACAGGAGATGGAGGGGAATGAAGACCAAGAAAAGGCAGAAAAAGATGAATCTGGGGAACAGAGCCTATGAAATCTTAGATCACCACTGGAAGATGTAAGAGGCAGAAGACAAAGGAAGAGAAATCCTCAAATGTTAACCTCTCAACATGAGGCTGAAGAGTGGCTGCTCAAAGGGAAGCAGGTTCTCATGAGGACCCAAAGAGATCATGGGGTGGGCACATCTTCAACCCCATAAAGGCAAATGGTGAGTCCTTGGCATCTCAGCCACTGTGCCAACACATCTCTGCAGGACACCTCTAAATTACAAGAGCAACAACATCTCTTCAGTGATATTTAGTGGATTTCCAATATCTTATTTAAATTCAACCAAAACCAGAATTCACACCAGAGTGAGAAAGCTGTGCAAGGATGGCTGCTGGGGTCACTCTGCTCATCCCAGCTGCAGAGCTCTGCTGGAAATCCTCCACACTGGGATGGTCACAGTATGGTCCCACCCTAACAGTGCTCTCTGCACCCAGAAACACTCCCAGGGGTATTCAGACCTTCAGAAACTCCTGTCACAGAGCCATGACATCAAAAAATGGAATTTCTTGCCCCAAACAGCTAAAAAATATTATTGTGAGGTAGTTAGGCTTATACAGAGAGAAGACACATGAACCTACAGCTGCTTCCTGTGAAGGAGGAGTAAATTTAATGGTTGGACTCAATGATCTTGGAGGTCTTTTCCAGCCTCAGTGATTCTGTGATTCACAGACTGCAGCACAATGCTCTGTGCTGATGACACAACACGTGTTGGTGCGTTTTTGGGGCTGAATAAAAAATTTGAGGGAATTTTTATTTTATATGAAAAAATAAATATATGGATATTAAAATATATAAATATGTTTTCACATATAACATTAAATATATAATATTAAATATATGTATATTTAGTATTATATACTTAATATTATATATTAAAATGTATTTATATTTTATGTAGAACATTTTTATATTTTATATTAAATGCATTTTATACTACTATATATGAAAATATTTTTTGTATTCTTTTCCATCCCATTCTTACTCTAGTCAGAATTTATGAACGTAAACCCTCTGTCCTCCCTTGTTCTTTCAGAGCTGCAATAGCAGTGATCTCAAGGTGAAGAGCAGGCAACATCTTACTGTCACAGATTTAGTAGCACAGCCAAGGAAAGGAGGGAAAAGCCACAAAATTCCACCTAATGTCCAATACACTGGTCCTGAATAATTTCTTGACTTTCTTTTGCAGTCTATAAGAGAATTCTTCTGTAAATTTTTAACTCTACTGCTTTTTTTACAGAGGGACGAAACACTATTAAAACCTCATTGAACCACCAGGATGACCCATCTGTTTCATGTGTCTTTACAAATACAGAAATTACTCATAATACTAGAAAATCCTCAATCCTGTGATAATGAAATCAGCTCAGTCTGAACTCAGCTTATAGAAAAAAACAGCAATATTTACAAAGGGAATAAATTAGATTAATAAAAGGTAGGAAGAAGTACAAAAGAAGGAAAGCCACCTTTGAAATTTCTTCCCTGCAGGAGCAGGACTGCTGTGGTTCCCCCGTTTTCTACCCCCTAAAAAATAATCCTTTCCCCCACTCTTCAAGAATTTATGTGCTTTTTGGCTTCCTCTTTTTAAATTGCCTCCCTTCAGAAGACCCAGAAATGTAAGCCAGGAGCCCACAATGAAATCAGCATCTCCAAATCCAACAGCAAATGGGGGAACACCCTTGGCACAGGAGACCTCCAAGTGCAAACACTAACCATGAAATAGCCATGCTAATTGGAGCCCCATAGGCTAATCAGAGAGAAAAAAAATTATTAAACCTGTGCTGCCTTGCCAAAATCTTCCCCTCTGCAAGAAACAGTCAGGTAATGCTGGCTTACTGAATGTCTGAAAAAGTACAGGCAAGTTAGCAGAAACCTAATAAATGTGCATGTCAGGTGGGAGTAAGTACCAGCAGCAAAAAAAATACTATGGGAGATCAGTTGGTGTCATCTTTCTCTTCACTTCTCCCTTAAAAAATAGCCTTTTTCCCCACAAAGTGAGCACTGCATTCTTAAAGGGGTTATAGACAGCAGTGCTTGTTGCAAAAATCCATTGTTCTCACAAAGATGCTCATAGAAACTTTCTTTTATCCCAGTGACATTTGTAACTGCCTTTTTTAGGGAAATAAAGACTCTGACAAATATGCAGTTCCATGAAAACCTGAGCTTGGGAAAAAGTTTTAGTTTAAAATGTATTGTGTATTTTTTTTATTGAAACAAGTAAAAAAAAAAAAAGGTTAAGTGTTTTTTTCTTGCAAAATTCAATTTGGAAAAAAAAAAAAGTAGTGTTTTCCTTTACAATTTGAAAGGTTTCTCCATGCCCTCCCACCTTGCTAGCACTCAGTGAAGTGCTTTTGCTTTCCTTGCTTTCCACAGACTTTGACTTTTTATAAACCCTTTTACTACCTGGGATAAGTGCTGAGAGAAGCTCCTTTAGCACGAGGTGCCATGAGGCTGTAGTGCATAAAATTCTGTTTAGCCAACACTTCCCTCTACTGGGAAAGAAAAATACTGTCATTTAATTCCCTTCGAAATAAAGGGAGAGGGTGTGAAGGGGTTTTCCTGCCCAAAGATGGGAGATTTGGGGGCATGTGGGATGAAAAAAGGGCAATCACCAATACATCGCTCTTTTATTACCCAAGCAAAAGAGGTTTGGACACCCCATATTGATTTCCGCTCAAGGAGGATGCCCACAAATTCCCTTCACTGATTGTTTTCCAGCCTCACTGAGAGGGAATAAGCAAACCAGCAGGGCTGGGACCCCACCACACCATTCTAAGGAATAAACAAGGTCAACCCACTCTGCCAAACACCCTGTGTGGATCTCACACTGAATCACAGCAGGGAATGATGTTAAAACTTCATTGTATAACACACTCTGGGATCTGGGTTTATTCCTCCCTCTAATGAGAGCCCTGATTCCTCCTCATCCCCCCCACTTCACTTGCAATAAGCAAAGAGACCCTGACACAAACCCAGCTGCTGTGTCAGGATACATCTGTATCAGTCTTCAGCTTCTGCCTTTTAATTAAGTGTATCATCCTCGTGGAGCAGCTCTCATCAAGCATCCACGGGGAAATCCTGTAACGCCTGGATAAATTCCTACATTTGTTCAATCAGACTCAAAGATAGAGCCCTACAGTGAGCTTATCTAATTTAATGGGGGAGAAAAAAAATTTACAGGCTGGCAGCGCCTCTGTCAACGACTGTGTCCAAGTGTAAAGAAAGCATTCGATGCTCTGATAGACATAACAGCTCACATCATTAAAGTAAAATTAATTTTCCTCTCCCTGAAATGGCTCACCTCTCAATCCCTCC